TCTTATCTAAATCTGGTCAGTCAAAATATCAAAAAATATTTTGTTTTAAAAAATGTTAAAACTTATGAAACAAATGTATACTCTACAGAAATATTATATTTTCTCCACTGCCTATTTATTTTTAGAATATTTAGTACAACAATGACTAGCTAGTCTTAAAATTTAGATTGCTTTTTCAAATATTTTAGGTGTTACGTGAATCAACACTTTGGGACGCTTTTGAAGTTCCACGTGAGCAAATTTTTCCAGGAGCAGTTATCTTAGGTGATCAAGGCTATCCTTGTAATAACTGGCTTATAACGCCTTACAGTGACAACCAAACAGCTTCCAAGCGTCGGTTCAATGATGCAAATCGAAAAACTAGAAATATAATAGAGCAATGATTTGGGATTTTGAAACACAGGTTTTACTCTCTACAAATTCCAATTCGATTTCGAAAAGTGGAAAATGCAGCAAAACTAATTGTATGTGCTTGTATGGTTCACAACATGCGCAAAGTGGGAGATGAGGGAGAAAAACTTCCAGCAATACCTTCAACAGCCTTGTCCTTTCAAGCTAGAGATGACACTAAAGATGAAGTTCAAACAGGTGCATGCCGCGATCAAATTTTGCAACCAATGTAAATTAAAAAAATGTATTTCAGTCAGACTAAAATTTTGTGTTTTTTCCTAGTTTATTATTTTCTGCTTCATCCAAATAAATTTTGAATAGTTTGTTTGAATTGAATAAAAAATTTTGAATTTACTTATATTGTACTTTTTAGATAAATGAGATATGTCGGAATTAAGGGATGTTGACATTTGCTTAAATGATAGTAACTTATATTGAAATCAATATAAAATATTCTCTAACCATTAGCAGCTCTGTAATTTTGCAGATTTATTTAATGTTAAAGGGACTACCAAGTCCCGAGACATGTTGTGTTCATATTAAAGAGAATGTTAAAAAGAAACGTCTGAGCAATTTTTTTTTGATTAAAACTAATTAATAAATGTATACCAAGAAAAACAAATCTTGTTGTTTTAGTCGAAGCTCGTCTTCTCCATTTTCTCTGGTATTTTGAGTATGTAAAATAAACGCGATTTTCCAGGCGCATTATACAGACTTGATAATTTATTCAAGCGCATTTAATTCATAGGAGTTTTAGTGCATGACATCATAGATTTTTATTTTTTTTGTTTAAAACACCGATTGTTATTTTTTACATATAATTTCCAAAGCATATTCATTTTTATTATATTTTAAAGTTCTAAAATGTGTTTGTAAAACAAAATTAAAAACAAAATAAAATTAAAAACAAAAATAAAATAAAAAACAAAATAGTATTTTATTTGTGCAACTTTTTTTAAATAACCGTCTAGCCACGTGTATTTTGATTTCTTTTGTTATAAGTTTTTCTTTCAAAATATTAGATAAAATAATTTTTAACCTAAATAATAATGCATTTTTATTAATTTACTTTGTAAATATTAAAAAAAAAATTATTAACACATTTTTTCTCTGACTTTCAAAAATGTATTTTTTGGTATTGAGATGATCTTATTTCATTATTTATATTTCCATTATAACATTCAATATATATTATGGCGGGGGCTTAAAAATTAAAAAATTAATATATATTAATTTTTATTTTACAGACATACATGGAAACATAATTAACTTTAATGTTCTTAAAACATCTTGTGGAAGAATAAAAAGAATATTTGCGAACAAATAAAAACCCGCCAAATTTGAAAACAAACTAATTCTATTGGTTCAAAAAACTAGCTGACTAAGCGAAATAAAGTTCTAGAGAATTCTGTTGAAATGTTTTAGAAATTGTATTATTTACGATTTGTTGCGTTTTGAGATATCTAGCATAAATTTTTTTAAGAAAATATTATCAAATGAACTATTACTTTAATATTATGGCTCATTCTCGGAGCCACATCTGTAAAGCCGTAAAACTTTTAAACTATTATCATTTGTTTACAAAAATAAATGTTTTATAATATATATTTTTTAAATTGTCAAAATTTTGAAAGTTAATTACAAATTATATATTTTATTAGTATATTCTTAATTTTTATATCTTTTCTTAGTGCTTGGTTTAATTAATTGTTTGTTAGATTTGTAAAAAACTAACGAACAATTAATAAAATAAACTTTTAATAAAATAAGTAACTATAGTTAGCTATTTGAGTAAAATTTAATAGTAAAATTTTTAAAGAATTTCTAGAATGTTTCCAATGACGTCATGCTCTAAAACTCCTATGAATTAAACGCGCTTGAATAAATTATCAAGTCTGTATAATGTGCCTGAAAAATCGAGTTTATTTTACATACTCAAAATACCAGAGAAAACGGAGAAGACGAGCTTCGACTAAGACAACAAGATTTGTTTTTCTTTGTATACATTTATTAATTAGTTTTAAACAAAAAAAATTTGCTCAGACGTTTTTTTTTTAACATTCTCTTTAATATGAACACAACATGTCTCGGTACTTGGTAGTTCCTTTAAGTTAACTCATAGAATTTTATAATAAAATATAAAAAATTTTCAAGCAATTTTGCAACGGCAATTAAACTTTCGAATAAAGAAAATGTTTTTAAACTTGGAATTTTTTTTTTAATAATTATATTTTATCTATGTTTCTGACTGACAAAGAATATTCGGCTCGAATGTTTCAACATTTTAAGGCATTAGAGACTGGATCTGAGTCTGGAGAAGTTATTGCTTAAGAATAATTTTTTCCATTTTGGCCTTAAATCGAGTTTTCTTCATCAGATGGCGTTCAGCCCTGTACTTAGTCTCTTCTTTTAGCTTGTCCAGCTTCTGCTTTATTTTAGCTTAATTTAATGCACCGTTCTCATTATCTGAAAAGATGTTAGTTGATGATGATGTCAATCGTTTTGTAGAAACCTAAACAAATTTTACCGATAAGTGTAACAAAAAATGGAGACTTTTCATGTTTCATGGCGTTTAAAATTTCAAATAAATCAATTTTTGCTTGCTTTTGATAGTATCAATTAATGTTAAGTATTTTAAAAATCACAAAGTTACACTGACATTTAGTGACTACTTGACAAAATCTAGCTAAATTATTAATTGACTGGGCACATAGGAAGAAAGAGTAATACTTATACATACTTATGACAAAGTTTTAACAATTCTTATAGAATAAACTTCTTACAGAACGTTTAATAGAGCTTGTCGAAATAATTGATTTTGCAGCAAAAGACTTTGGAACTGTTTCGACAGACATTTTAATGACGAAATTTAGGCTAGGGACTGAATTAAATGGTGATTCTTTTCCAATGATGTCCATCACAGTGCATTCATAATTAGAAAGTTGGCTACCTTTGGCACCAGATTTATTAAGTTTCTTGAAATTATCCATGGTTGATCTCCTCAGGTTTTGCCACTCAGTTGTCCGAATATGTTTAACAGTGACAGTAGAAGAAAGACCATGAGGTACAAGAAGTTTTTACTTTCTAGCCATTTTTCTTTTCGATTTTGATTACAAGTCAAAGAGAAAACCAATCACTTTCTCTTTGTTTTGGAAAATGAACTAAGCCATAACAGTTTTCTGTTCTTTTGTTAGTATTTGCATTAAAATATTAGTTTTCTAATATTTTTATGCAAATTGCATAAAAATATTAGTTTTCTAATATTCTTTTGCAATTCATTTGCAGAAAAATATTGTTAGCATTTGCATAAAAATGTTAGTTTATTAATTTTTTTGTTTTGTTTGTTATGTAATTATTGTATAGAAAACAATCTCCTTTTATAGAATTACAAGATTGCTAAATTATGCTTTTGGTTTTTCAGAATTATTTTTAAAATTATTCAGAAGAAAAAATTTATGCAACAAGGAAGGCAAGCCATATTTAAAACCAAGACATATTAAAATTTAAAAGTAAATTTAGTAATAATTATAATTAAAAATGACACTTAAAATTAAAAAAGCAAATCACTTAGTAGCTATCCTTTTTCAACGGGTCTGAGGGTAAGTATAACTAATGTTCTAAACATAATTAATGTCCCAAACACAAAGAATCAGAACAGCATATTATTCTTTCCATCCACTAATTTTAATTAGGTTCCGATAACCCGTGACGCTGGCATTGTATTATTCTTGTTTATCCTATGATTTTTATCTTATTTATCTGTAGGGTAAATTAAACTATAGTTTTTAAATTATTTAAGAATTTAAAAAATAAATTTGCAGAAAAAACCAAAACATTTAAACGTTTTCATCATTAAACAAATCATGTAAATTTATTTGAAAAATTAGTTATGAAAATAGGTCAATAATTTTTTAGAAGTTTCCTTATTTTAACTTATAAGTGTCATTAAAGTGGTGTCTAGTTTCTTTTCAAAATTAAATTTGCGTGCAATTTCCTTGATATACCAGTTTTCTTGGTACAAAAAAAATTGTGATTTGATTTTGTTCTAATCATTTATACTTTCATTAAAATACTAAAAAAATTAATATGCTAAAACTTGTGATACTCTAATGAACAATATTTTGTTTTTAATTGATTATACATTTAGCTTTTTTATTTTATATTTATATTATTTATTTTACATTTATTTTATATTTATATTATTTATTTTATGTTTATATTATTTATTTTATATTTATTTTGTATTTATATTATTTATTTTATATTTATATTATTTATTTTATATTTATTTTATATTTATATCTAAAACTTTGATTCTAAAGTAGTCTTCTTGGTTTACAAAAAAAATTTTAAGTTTTTAGTTTTTGTTTTAATTGTTTAATTTTGTCATTTACACAATAATCTAAAACTATAGTAGTATATAAAGATTGTCGAAGTCTGTTATCACAATGTCTAAAAGTCTGTTATCACAATGTCTAAAAGTCTGTTATCACAATGTCTAAAAGTCTGTTATCACAACGTCTAAAAGTCTGTTATCACAATGTAAAAAAGTCTGTTATTACAATGTCTACAAGTCTGTTAACAAAGTCTATTGTCTGTTATTTGATATTTAACTTATCTACCTAAAGCTTTATAAAACACAGAAAACTTAAAATTAGGTAGAGCACAAAATATAAACTCACACAAAGAGCTATAGTTCACCATAAGCAGAAATGTCAAAAAGTCTGTTATCACAAGTTTAAAATTTGTTATCACAATGTCAAAAAGTCTGTTACCACAACATCTAAAAGTCTGTTATCACAATGTCTAAAAGTCTGTTATCACAACGTCTAAAATCTGTTATCACAATGTCAAAAAGTCTGTTATCACAACGTCTAAAAATCTGTTATCACAATGTCAAAAAGTCTGTTATCACAACGTCTAAAAGTCTGTTATCACAATGTCTACAAGTCTGTTAACAAAGTCTATTGTCTGTTATTTGATATCTAACTTATCTACCTAAAGCTTTATAAAACACAGAAAACTTAAAATTAGGTAGAGCACAAAATATAAACTCACACAAAGAGCTATAGTTCACCATAAGCAGAAATTTACATTAACACGTATATAATTTACACCAACAGTAATGTAATTTTATATTAAAAGAATAATTGAAAGTATTTAAAAATAGCTTTATTATAAGAAATATTAATATCAGCCTAAAATTTTTTAAATTTGTGACAATTTAAACCTAAAATGTTTCTTTGCGTGTTCTACACTAAAATGTTTCTTGTGTGTTCTACACTAAAATTATCTTAAAGAAATACTTAGAAAATAAAAAAAATGCAGTTTACCTAAGTTTATCTGAGTTTACTTAAGTTTACCTAAGTACTTAAGTTACTACAGTTGAACTATTGTAATTTGAAAGACCATTTAAATCAAACAAATTATTTGTTCCCTCTTGTAATGATAACTCGTGCAATTTAAACATATTTTGAGACCCCTTGAGGATTCAAATCACATGAGTTCAACTGTATATAAGATCTTTACTGATTTTACTTTTTTTGATTTATTTTTTGAAGTACTAACTTAAAATCAAAGCACGAGTATTAATGAGTACCATGATAACAATAAATATAGTTTTCATATATTATATTACCTTATTTCCAGCTCTGAGTTTTATATCCACAAATTTTGCTAAACAAATAAAATATTCAAAATAAAGAAAATCAACTAAATATAGAGCAAATCAAAATAAATTAAACATTTAAACAAATTTAAAACAAAATGATATTATATTTCTGTAGTTTCAGCTTAAATATGCTGCAAATAGAATCTGCACTTGAATTGATTTATTTAGTTGTGTTTGAAAAAACCACAAAAATCTTTATAAAGCTAAGTTTTTGCTATTATTAAAAATATTATACTTTATTGCTTTATTGTCTTTGTTATTTTGCTTATCTTGTTTCTTTTATTATTATTATTTTATTATTATCATTTCTTAGAAGCATTTACTTAAACCTTTATAGACTGAACTATTAAATGATATTTTGCAGAACTAGTGTTCATAAAAGCAAATGATATTTTGCAGAACTAGTGTTCATAAAAGCATAATTAAGTCTCTAGAAGTTGTTCATTTTAACTATTCAATTTTAGTTAAGCATTTTACTTTGATTTAAATGTTTTGGTGAAAAAACTATTATGAAGGACTACTTTAAGCTTAGAAATTTCAGCTAGATTTTGCGGATTTACTAACTCAATATGAGTTGCACATAAATTGTGTACAGAACTTTGCACATTTTACAATTTCTACTTTTAAATGTTTTTTTAATAATCCCAGTATTTGAAGTTTTGTTAACACATAACATTTGATATTTCTCTTTTGAAAATTTTTAAAACAGCATATACTTTGTTGATTTTTATGTTTTATAAGTTAAGCCATACACCTAAAAATGCTTTAACCTAGAAAATTAATTAAAAAAATTCTATACCTATAAGTTCTGCAGGTTTGTTTGGTCGTTTGTTAATAAAATATTCAAAAGAGTCCTAGTAAAAGAAAAATGTTTCAAAATAATATTAGTAGCATTTTGAGAAACATTGCATCTGCAACAAGTTAATTGTTATAACAAACTATATGTTATAAAAAGTCAAAAATAACTTGATAAGTATAAAAATGAATAATAATGTCCTTAGATCTAATTAAATCATGTCACAAACAATTTGCATTACTTTACTAGATTTGAAGAAAAAATTATTTTGCTAAACTATTAGATATAATAAAAATAAATATTTACTTTCATAGTAATGATAAACTTTTCATTTTTGTTAAATGACTCTTCAATAAGCATGTCTAACTTCTCTTTAAATTCAAGCAATTCTTGTACCATGTATTTATCTCTTTCTGTATCATTAATTATTGTAAGACCTTTTACCTTAAAACAAAACAAATTACACTTTTTAAAAAATTCTGCACTATTTAAAAGCTGAATTATTTAAAAATTAAATAATAGATGAAAATGTTGCCACCTTTATGTAAGCACCAAAATATTCGCACAAACTATCGAGCCCGTTTTTTACCCTTGAAAATAAATTGTACATAAGCAAAAGATGAACATTTGCACTGCAATCCATTAAGTAGTTAAACCCTTTGTTGAGTATATTTGTAAGATGACAACTAATCATTTGATTTTCAACAGAACTGATCAAAGCTTTTCTAAAGAAAAAAAGAAAGTAGAACAAGTAGCCTTATTAAATGCAACATAAATCTACTGAGTACCACTCAACAAACCTCTATAAAGAAAAAAAAAGAAAGTACAACAAGTAGCCTTAATAAATGCAACTTAAATCTATTGAATACCCCTCAACAAACCTCTATAAATAAAAATATAAAAATATTCAAAAATTTTCATTCTCAAGTTTTATTTAAATAAAAAAACTTTTTTAAATAAAAAAAATATAAAAAGAAGTACAATAAAGAAAATATAATTAACCGTTTTATCAAAAATACTAATATACAAAAAATACAAAAATACAAAAAAAATACAAAAAAAATACAAAAAAATACTAAAAATACAAAAAAATACAAAAAAAATACAAAAATACTAAAAATAAAATGCGTAAAATGGTAAAATGCGTCCTTTTAATAATTTCCAAAAAGCAAAATCTTTTATACCTGATAACATCTTTATTAAAGAACAAGAGAAGGGATTATACTTTGTAAAAATAATCACTTTTCTTGTTAAAATTAAAAATTTTAAAAATATATATAATACAAATATAAAATGTATTAAAATAGAATAACAAAAATATATTAAAAATGTAGTCAAATACTTTGTGTGTGAATTAATAATTTTTAAAAGAACACACACATATATAATCAGGCTTGGCCAGGAAGGCGGGCGATTTCATGCCATAATATAACCACGCAAATACTATTTGATTTTGAAAATTTAACCAGGGCTGGTGATATGTTTTGAAAATTATACATTTTAATGTATAATTTTCAAAACATATTAACATATTAAAAGATTTAGGATAATTTTTTTAGCGCATTTTTAAAATGTATACATTTTTAAAATGTGTTAAAATTATCTTTAACTATTAAATAACTATGAAGAAACTTAAAAAAACTTATCGTAAAAAAAGCAAATAAATCTTCATAAAAAAAAATTACGAAAAACAAAATAAAAGCAGATTTACTAAAACTAAAACTAAAAAAATAAAACTTAACTAAAATAAATAATTAACTATAACAATAATATTATTTAAAATAAGTTTTTTTAACTTCAAATTTTTTCTCAACAAAACCATCTTTCTTTTTTTCGAGTGAATTATCTTCAATGATTCTTATATAAAGTTTATTAAAGAGATCATCGTTGTTAAAAGTTGTTGCTTAAAAAATTGAATTTTTTTTTTAATTTTAATAATAAAAAAATATTATACAATTAAATATAAAAAAAAATTTAAACAACTTTTAATGATACTTTAATTAAAATCATTAATTTATTTAAAATTATTTTATTTATATAAAAAAATATTAATAAAGATAAACGTGTAGAAGTTATTTATTTTCAACATAATTAAAAACCATTTTTTTCAGCGCATTTGTTAAAAACCCTTTGGTCAAATTGCCAAAACAAAATATTATTTACATGTTCAAAAAAAGGGTTGAAATTGCACGCCTTCCTGACCAAGCCTGATATATATATATATATATATATATATATATATATATATATATATATATATATATATATTATATATATATATATATATATATATATATCTATATATCTATATATCTATATATCTATATATCTATATATCTATCTATATATATATATATATATATATATATATATATATTATATATATATATATATATATATATATATATATATATATATATATATATATATATATATATATATATCTATATCTATCTATATCTATATATATATATATATATATATATATATATATATATATATATATATATATATATATATATATATATATATATATATATATATATATATATATATATATCAGAGGCTATTCTAGAAAAATAATTTGGGCAGTGGTACCCCCTGAGCCAGTGCCTGCTGTAAGGAAACTTGCCTTATGTAGGCATTTTTTTGCAAATAAAAAAATTTGCTGTAAGAAAAAAGTCCTCAAGTTCTAAAAAATACAGTCAACACTGTCAAAAACAGTCATGAATAGCCCCTGTATGTATGTATGTATGTGTGTGTGTGTGTATATATATATATATATATATATATATATATATATATATATATATATATATATATATATATATACAACACTTGGAATTATGAAAAATAAGACCTAAAACTGATTTTGATTAGCACAAACTTTAGAAATATTGTTCAACAAGTTAATGAACTGCAAGCATTTAGCATAAAATTGAGAGAAAATCAAGCGCTGAGTTCGCTATCTTTTTTTTCAAACATCGGCATTCGAAAAATTGAAAGAAAAAAAAAAAAGCACTTTACCAATTTATTATTTCAATCTGTTTTATTAAGAATTTTTTCTGTTTTATCTTAAAATGTTTGTTTTAATTTATATAGAAAATTGTTACTTAATAATTTTACTTCTTAGTTATGATTACCTAGTACATGGTTCTAAATAATGAAAAAGTCGCTCTGATTCTTCTTTTAGTCGCCTTTCCACATGTTGTAAATAGTTTGGGACATCTACTTTTGACATTAATGTATTTCCTTCAACCAAATACAATTGATCAGTTTCTTTTAAAAAAACTGGTTCAAATATTTGTTGGTACATCTAAGCAAAATAAAATAGATATAGATAAAATAATCTACAAATTAATTTTGATTATACATTGTTGTAAAAAGAAAATTTAAATAAATGCTTAAAAAAACTGTGTGCCATTTAGATTATGGAGGTTAAATAAAGTGTATGTAAACATATATAAAGGAGAAAGGTGGGGAAGGGAAAAGTTGGCGTTAAAATAAATTTATAAATACTTACAAACTAGAAAAGGATGTTTATGAATTTATTTTTGAAATGTTTTCTAACTAATAGCAAATTTCGGTCTTTGTTAAAACATTAAATAATAAAAAATAAAAAAATAAACTATAATATGCTTGAGAAAAATATAAGACCACCAAAAAAAACTACATCAACAGCATAACTTCCCTTTTGATTTATTTACGTTACGTACGATAATTACACAACTAGCTAAAAATCAAAATCAAGAATTCACAGCTGCAGAAGCAGCTTTGTTGAGCAGAATAACTGTTGACAACATTTTGAGCTTAAAACTTCAAAGATGTAGGGAAATAAGATCAGACCCATGTATGAGAGTTATAGGTGATCTCATAGTCTGAGATGATTTTTAAATAGGTGATCTCATAGTCTGAGATGATTTTTAAATAGGTGATCTCATAGTCTGAGAATAAAATAGACCAGAGCATTAGATAATGCCTTTATCATTAATTTCCTGTAATGAAAAAAGATGTTTATGAAAGTTTTTTTTGAAAAAGATGAAAAAATGTTAAATAATGTGAAATTTCATGATAAGAAATAGCAGTTGCATAAGAAGAAAATCAAAAGTTGAAACTGATGAAAAGAAGCAAAAGACTCCATGCTCGCCTAAATCCAGAAGATTGAAAAAAAAAAAAAAAAAAATGACAACAAAGAGACAAATGAAATCAGTCAGAGTACCATCACAAAATTGATTCAAAGTACCATCACAAAACTGATTCATCACAAAACAGATTCTATCTGTTGACCAGCCTCGCACCCCTTAAATCTATTAGGCTGGCGCAGATGTATTTTTAATACATTGTTTTAAATTTAGGATCTTGAATGCTGGATCTTCTTGACTCGTTGCATGGGTTTTGCTTGTGTCTCTGTTTTTATGACTAGGCAACTCATTCTATTATCTCCTAATGAGGATACAGCTCTAAAACTCAATTTTATGGTTCTGAGGCGGCTGGTAATCAGGTTTCCTGAACTCTGTTGTAGCTCTCAGAGAGGCTGATTACACCAACAGCTGAAAAAGTTCTAACAGTGCCATATTGTGCATGGATGGTGTCCCTGTTTGAACTTCTAGGTTTCCCGAACTCTGTGGTAGCTCTCAGAGAGGCTGATTACATTAACAGCTGAAAAAGTTCTAACAGTACCAAGTTGCGCATGGATGATGTCCCTGTTTGTACTTTTGGTGTGAATTGCCAAGGCCACATTGGAGCCCTTTGTTACGGATTAGGGTTTATAGTAATGAGGCAGTTGCTTGGGCTATTAAACAGTGTACTGAGTACTATCTATGTTTCGAGTCAAGTTCTTTAAAAAATTTAAAAATAAATTAAGTAACAAAAACTATAAAACACAAAAAACCACAGTCATCACCAAGTTCGCTAAACCTATCATTCACTAATATTTGTGGTCTTCGAAGTAACTTTTCTTCTGTTGAGTCTTATCTCTTGCTAAGTTCACCAGACCTACTTGCTCTTTGTGAGACTATTTTGAGTTCAGCTGTCTCATCTTAGATGTTGATGGTTATCTTCCTTTAATTCCTAAAGACTCCAATAGTCACATGCTTGGTCTGGGCATTTACATTCGTAAGAATTAACCCATTTGTCAGGAAACTAGGTTTGAATCCACAGACTACTCTTTTATGTACTTTCGTTTAGCACTACTTCACTCTATCACTTTTCTTTTTTTTCTATATCGCTTTCCTTCAACTCAAGACTGCACTCTTCTTGATGTTATTTCTGATCATAATGACCAAGCCCTCTCTCTTTATCCGTCAGCCAATATTGTTGTTATCAGTGACTTTAATGTTCATCACACCGAATGGCTTGGCTCTAGTGTCAGTGACTCTGTAGGCATTAAAGCCCACAACTTTTGCCTTTTTCAATCCCTAACTCACATAGTCAACTTTCCAACTTGCCAAACAACCTGAATCATTTACCTTCTCTACTCCACTTATGTCTTGTTTCTGATCCTAGTCAGTTTCTCCACACTTACCCTTAGGTGCTTCTGATCATGGTTTGTTCTCTCTAAAACTGTTATCTCATTCTTCTTTATCATCAGAATCCCCCTATCATCGTACATCTTACAACTACCTTAAAGCTGACTGGGACACTTTCTGTGATTTTCTTCGTGATGGCACTTGGGTAGAAATCTTTCGTCTTCCTGTTGACAAATGTGCTTTTTTAATTACTTTTGTGGATTCAGGCTGGCATGGAGTCCTTTATTCACTCTTGACGATTCCAGGTCAACTCTCACTCTTCTCTATGGTTTTTCTCATATTGTGCTGCTGCAATTGCCAATCGAAACCGTTACTTCCATACCTATCAGCAAAACAATTCTCATGAAAACAGACGTCTGTTTATTACTGCTAGGAACCATTGTAAAAAGATTTTGTCTAACGCCAAAGCCCACTATTCTCAGATCATGATATCTCATATTTCATCACAAAAATTACGCTCTCATGACTTCTGGAGAATCTTTAACAGTATCAATAATAAGGGCAAGTCTGTAATTCCACCTCTTTTGTATGGTTCAGACTTTGTCACCTTACCTAAAGACAAATCTGAATTGTTTGCTAAGAACTTTTCATCAATATCATCTCTTGATTTCACTAGTTGTGTTATACCTGATATAGCCGTCAAACAGGTTGATCCATTGCTCGACATCCGTATCACTACAGCTACTGTATCTTCTAAGTGATTTCCTGCTTAGACTCTTCTACAGCTTGTGGCCCAGATAACATACCTGTTATAGTCTTGCAGAAGTGTTCTGCAGAGCTGTCGTCTATACTTTCAAAACTATTCAACAAGTGGTTATCAGTCTTGTTTTCCAGCCTGCTGAAAAGCAGCATCTGTTATCCCTATTTTTAAATATTCTGCAGAGCAATCTGATTCGTTTAACTACTGTCCCATTAGTCTTCTTCCTATCATAAGCAAGGTTTTTGAATCTTTAATTAACACACTTAATATCTCATCTTGAATTTAATAACTTTCTGATCATCAATATGGATTTTGATCTTCTTGTTCTACAGCTGATTTTGCTAACGATAATAACCGATAGGTTTTATCGTGCATTAGATAAAGGTGGAGATGTTAGGGCCATCGTTCTTGATACTTCTGAAGCATTTGATAAAGTTTGGCATGCTGATCTTCTTCATAAGCTTTCTTCTTATGGTGTATCTGGAAATATCTTTAAGATTATTAAATCCTTCCTTTCCAATCGTAGTATAAAAGTTGTCCTTGATAGACAGCACTCTTCTTCATATTGTGTAACCTCAGGGGTTTCTCAAGGTTCAATCCTTGGCCATATACTCTTTTTAATTTACATTAACGATCTTCCAGATATTCTCACATCTAAGGTGGCATTGTTTGCTGATGATACTAACATTTATTCTTGTCATGATAAGAAGCCAACTTCCTCTGATTGCTTGTAGGGGGCATTCGATATTGAAAAGAATCTCACTTCTGCTTCAGCATGGGGCTCACAGTGGCTGGCGAACTTTAATTCAGATAAAACTCAATTTTTTTTGGCCAACTATTATCGCAATAATTTAGACCTTCCTATATTTATGAATGGTAATGTACTCGATGAGTCATCTACCCTTCATCTTCTAGGATTAACTCTTACTTTTGATCTTTCTTGAAAACCTTATATCAAATCCGTTGCAAAATTAGCATCTGCTTAAGTTGCATATCTTTATCGAGCTCGACACTTTCTTACTCTGGATTCTATTCTCTATCTCTATAAATCTCAAATCCGGCCTTGTATGGAATACTGTTGCCATATCTAGGGTGGATTTTCTAATGATGCCCTTTCTCTTTTAGACAAGGTGCAAAAATGCATTGTAAACATAGTTGGACTTGCTCTTGCAGCCAACCTACAACCTTTGTCACACCGTCGTAATGTTGCTTCTCTTTCTCTTTTCTACAAATACTATAATGGGCACTGCTCTAAAGAGCTAGCGTTTCTTGTGCCATCTACTAAAATGTTACTCGTCATTCAATTGTTACTCGTCATTCAATTACTGTTACTCGTCATCCAATTAATTACTGTTACTCGTCATTCAATTAAGTCTCATCCTTTTTCTGTTACTGTTCCTAAGTGCTCTAAAAACTCTTATTTGTCTAGTTTTTTCCCTCGAACATCAGTTCTTTGGAATTCGCTTCTTTCATCTTGCTTCCCTGATTCATATATTTTACAACCTTTTAAGTCGTCTGTCAATTGTTATCTTGCTCTACAATCTTCATCTTTTCTCTTCCAGTAACTTCCAACACTAATTAGTGGTTGCTTGAAGCCTAATTGAAAGCAAAGATGTTTTAAAAAAAATCAAAGACAGCTTTTGTAATATTAGCTTTATTAGTAGTAGCTTAAGCTATTAGATTTTTTTATTAATATTTTTATGTACGTTACTTGCATTATTTATATAAGTAATAAAGAATCCAACTCCATCTTAGATTGTGAATGACACTGAAACAAAACTAAAAAATACACCTAAGCAATAAGCTTTACAATAAGCATCTAGACCAACTATTAGATGAAGTACAGGTGCAAGGTTAATAAAGATTTTCTGCTTACCCACAAAGTCTTTGCCAAGAAGCTCTTCTACAAGACAATAGGTGAATGCAGGCTATAGATGAGTATTTTTATTGAGACATAATCTTTAGGCTTTACTCAACAAAGATTTAAAGACAGGGGTATTTTAAGCTAGATTTAATTTCTCCTAATTTTTGCCTAGAAAAGCAAATCCTAAAAGGCAGCAGCTCATGAGACAGATTGTACTGACACATGGCAGATGTAAATCATGACAACATCTCGACATCATCTTACTATGAAAACACCATTATTAATTAATGAAAGTGTAGATCTATGACAGGATAAAAATTCATCATAGTGTAATAAAAAAGACAAACCATTCAGTCAAATGCCCGATTGTTAGGTCATTACATTTATCTTATTACTTTAAAATTTAAAAAAATGCAAATAAGGTGTATTTTTTTCTTCTTTTTTAATAGTTTAATGATTATGTCTCTACTTGTGATGAAAACCTCACTTAGTGTGATTTTCACCACAACAAAGCAGCATCACCTGCCCCAATATCATTACCTGATTAATAAAAAAAAAAATTATATGTTTATGATTTAATCAAACATTGATTATAGCATGCGACAATGTTTTATATTTACTACACCCCTGATTTCTAATAGAAACCTTAATTTATGCATCAACAGTAACTTATGCATAAATAATATCTTATGCTTAATATATTTTTAATTTATTAAGTTGATTATTTTAAATTTCAGTACAACAGGGGTAGTTGCAGAGAACTTCTGAATGTTTGTATTTTAATTTTTTTTTACTTTTTATTATAAAATTGGAACTTTTAAAAGACTTTTTATCTTATCGTGTAATTTGTTCTGAATGATTTGATGTGTAAAAATTAATATATAATAACAATAATAATAATAATAATAATAGTGTAAACTTGTGCAAAAATAACATACAAATCTTGTTTACTTATTCTTGGTTATTTATCTGCACAGTATTCCTTATAGTATATAGTAGAGATGACATGAATAGTGATATTTGGCAAGGCGGTCATATGAATACCAAATATTAGCTGCTGAATATTTGGTGACACTTCATTATCTAAAGGTTCTAACCTAATTTGTTGAAATGTCAACTACACAGTGAGTGCTTCTGTATCATTAATGACTAGGTTGGGTTACAGACTATATTAACATATTAAAATATTATTATTAATGATTATAGCAATTTTATAGCATGCTTTTTTTATTAATGCATGTTCCAAAATTAATTTTGGAACATGCATTAATAAAAAAGCAGTTGTTTAATTATTCTCATTAAATGTAAACCATGCTTTAAGCTCAAGTTGTTGTGAAAATATCATTTTTAATAAATTTGGAGTTATTTGTGCTTTATCTATCTTTAGCATGGTTATGTTAGAAATTTTTTCGAATGGTTTGTCTCCAAACTTATTAAAAATGATATCTTCATGACAACATGAACTTAAGGCAGGGTTTAAACTTAATGAGAATAAATAAACAATTGCCTTTTTTATTAATGCATGTTCCAAAATTAATTTCCTGGGTTAAAATACAACAAGCAAAACAAACAAAAAAAAAATTGTAAGGCTGTGAGAAAAATCATGTGTGACAAACATAACAAGTTTTTTTTAGTGAATGGTTAATTCATATCAGTAAAAAGCAAATCTTTCTCAGTGAAAGACTGTTGACACCAATGAACTGGCTTCTAGTACTACCTGTGACAATTTATCTCCACTTTGTAAAAAAAAGAAATGTAAATGAAACAATCAAATAAATCTCTACAGAAAATATGCACACAAAAAAATGTGGACAAGAAAAGTTCAATTGTAAACAAAATAGGTTTTTAAGTGAAACTGTTTGCTTAAATTAGACATAAGTGGTGGTTAGCAAATGCAAAACTTAACAGAACTTGCTAAAGAATACCGAATAGTCACAGAATATTTGTGGCATCTCAAATATATAGTGGGTTTTTATTCCTTATATTATACAGTGGGTTTTTATTACTTAAATTATATAGTGGGTTTTTATTACTTATGTTATATAGTGGGTTTTTTATTACTTATATTATGCAGTGGATTTTTTATTACTTATGTTATATAATGGGTTTTTTATTCCTTAAATTATATAGTGGAACTTATATTTATAAAAGATTTTTATTTATTAATAAAAGATTCGTATCTATTTGTGAAAGATTTGTGTTATATAATTTGGGTATAATATTTTACCAAATTTTTACTGAACATTAAACAAAAAATAATTGGCCTTACCTGAAGATCAGCTAGCATTTTTATTAATCTCTTCAGTAAACTTCTGTCAACTGTTTCACTATTGCTACCATTTTATAAACAAATGCAAAATCAACACTTTATATTGATAAATATTATAACATAAGAAAAAAGTAAAAACATGAAGTAAACAAAGAAAAAATATATTTTCATGTATATGCATATATATATATATATATATATATATATATATATATATATATATATATATATATATACATTTGAAAAGTAAATTTTATTAACTTTTAAATGATTTAACACGTTTGCTGCCAACTACAAGTATACTCGCAGTAGAAAATTGCTTTTTTTTGGCCAACTAAGAGTATACTCGTAGTAAAAAAACGCTATTTTTTGGCCAAATACGAGTATTCTCGTAGAATGCGTGCATAAAAAATTGGCCAACTACGAGTATACTATTAGTTCAACTAACATATTAAAAATTTAATTTTAACAATGTTTAGCTATGTTAATTCATATGTCTTTTTTTTTAACTTTAGAATAGATTTTAGAAATAACTAAGTTAAAGGCTTGTACTTTGTAAACCCCCCATGTTTTATATAAATCGGGATAGAGATTTAACAAACTTAAAATTTATAAAAGTATTATATGTTTAGTATTAATATTTTTTAATTGAATTATTTTAAAAACCTTTTATTTTACATGGTATATTTTAAAACATTCGCTAACACATAACAGAGGCTTTTTTTTCACATACAACGCATTGATATCATGTTTCCTTACGTTTCATTTTAGAACAAACACAACAAGGTTTTGTGGGCAATTTCTTCACTTTATTTGGTGGTATAGCAGCCAAATAATGAAGTTTATTGTAGTTGACTCGAGGAATCAATGTTTCTTTATTTAAGTGCTCACCCAATAAATTGGTAACAATTATTTCCCGAAATGTAAGCAAGGAGATTGCTCTATCTGTTCCATACTTGCAGTTAAGACAGTAAGCATTAAATACAAATATATCAAAATTTGCTCTGCACTGCAACGATTACTGTTACGAAATGCTTACTCGTACTTTGGCACTGGCGAAAAAAATTTCTTCTATATTGCTAAAGTACAAGTAGTGTTGCAAAAAACCGCGCTTTTTTGCTGTCGCGTTTTATTCACCCAAAAAAAAACGTGTTTTTTTGGTTTTTTTGGCGTTTTTTTGGTTTGAGTGTAGGTCTTTTGGATTTTTTTTTAACTCTTATGGTATATTTGTTTACTAATTAATTAATTAATTAATAATAATTAAATAATTTTGTGTAAACAGAGTGTTTAGCCAAAGTGGTATAAAAATATTTGTCTTTTTGATTAGGAAAATGGCTAAACAGTTATATATATTTTTTTAAATTTCAAGATTTTTGCCTCTAAAAAATTATTTATTTTCCTTATATTAAACACGAAAATTATTACCTTTTTTTATTTTGCAAAGCAGTGTTTTATATAATAAATATATTTCTTTCATATAATAAAAATATTTATTTAGATAATTCTGATTCATTCCATTAAATAATACATTTATTATTATTCAAAAAAAAAATTATGGATTAATGAAAAATTTAATGAACATAAGTTGAAGAAGTTGAAAAATAATTTTGTAATTTTAAAACCAGTGACAGATCTAGGGGAAATGAGAGGTATGAACCTACCACCCCGCACCAGAATCCATAAATTTATAAAATATCTTTAAATTTTTTAAATTTTTTTTAGTAGGCAAAAATGTGATACAAAATGAACTAAATTTTTAACAAGCCCCGATTCCCCTCACACCCACACCAAAAATTCCCGGATCTGACTTATTTTGCAATGCAGTGTTACTTCATTCATATAATAAATTCTTAAAACAGTTCAATATTAAAAAAGATACAATTCATGGCCTTTACTTATAAAAATTTACTTCTTTGTCTTTACTTATAAGAATTATTATTAAAAACTATTTAAAAAAAAAAAATTGTTTTTCTAATTAATGCTGCTTTATCAAATTTTTTTTTTTTTTGAATAATTTAACAATTGCTAAACTAAGACATTACTAAAAATATGGTAAATGGAAGTATTAAAACAAGTATTTAATAAATATCACCAAAAATAAATTTTAAAACCATTTCAGTGTTTAAAATGCAAAAAGAGTAGTTTTTAAGACAAAAACGCAAAAAAAACAAAAAAAACAAAAAACGAAGTCCTCGGTTTTTTTTGGCAAAAAAACATTTTTTTTGGCAAAAAAACAAGAACCAAAAAAACGACTTACATCTCTAAGTACAAATATACTCGTAGTGATTTTTTTTCCTCCTTTATATTCAGAATAAAAAATGCTTTTAAATTATGTTTGATAGAAAAAATGTTATTTATTGAAATATTGATATCTAGCCTTGGCAGTGAGATAAAACCAAATTTAATATTGCATAATTTAAGACTTGGCAGTGTAATAACGCCTTGCTAAAACAGGTTTGGCATTTTTTAAATAAATTTAATGTTTTAACTTTAATAAAAAAGAATTTTGTTTTGAATAAATCTTAAAAATAACAAAGCACAAATATACAAGTTAGGTTGTCAAAAAATTGTGTGCAATTGAACAAGGCAGACTCCAAGAAATATTTCGGGTCAATTTGCAATAAAAAAAACAACAGTTGCAGATATAAATAAAGATATAAGGAAAGAAATAACAATAGTCTCTCTAAAGTCAAGAAGACCTCAAACAACATCAGAAAGACATGATAAAATTTTAATTCATGCGGCAAACTATGAACCATGCAAAAATGCTGTCTTGTTAAATGCTGAAATAAAAGAATTTCATTATGTGAAATGTAATGTTGACACAACCAATTGTTGCTTGCAAATCTATTCAGATCTGCAAATCTATTCAGAAGACCACCTGTAAAGAAATCTTTTATTTCTATAAAGATTTGAAAAGCATACATAAAAACTGTTCATGAACTGGGCAAAAAATTATTGGTCAAAAACACTTTTTAGTGATTAATCAAAGTTTATATTATTTGGATCTGATGGTATTGAATATGTTTGTCATCGAAAAATTCATTGAAATTATTCTAAATACCAGCTGCTAACAGTAAAGCATGGAGATGGAAACCTGATACATTTGCAATCAAAAGTTTAAAACATTTTTAAAATTTGCTGAAAATTTGAAATATTTGTTTAAAAATATTTTTTTAACATGGAAAATTTTGAGTATTATTATTATATACATGCGAAATTTATGTTAGAAGCTTGTTATCATTTTAGCAAAACTTAAAATAATAATTATGGGAAAAACTAATGAATTAAAAACAAAAAAACGTGCTCAGATTGTTATTCTACATGTACAAGGAAGGACCCTGACTTCTATCGCTGCATGTTTTAACTAAACACCTAGCTGCATTATAAAAACATTAAAGCAATATCAAGAAACTTGTGATTTTAAAAGCAAAGCTAGAACTGGATGATTAAAGGTGACTACTCAAAGGGCAGATAATTGCATATAAGGGCATTCATTGTTATGCTAAAGCATATTCATTTGCCAGTGCTTCTGAAATTCTATCTGAGATATTCCTAACTGGTGTTGCACCAAGTGTTGTCACAATTAAAAGATGATTGTGACAATTAAAAGGTTGTGCAAACAATTTAATTTAAATAGCCATGTTCCAGCAAAAAAACCTTGCCTTTTTTCAAAAACATATTAGAGACCATATTGCCTTCTATCAAAAATACAAGCACCAGTCAGCAGAAGATTGGAAGGATGTTTAGCAATTAATCATGAATCAAACAATTTGGTTATCGTTCTACAAGCATTAAGCGCCCGCTTTGCCAATAATACAAACATTGCCCTAAAATCATGATATGGGGTGCCATTACAGCAAATCAAAGAGGTGCTTTATGGTTTATGCCTCCTAACACCACAATAAATATCCATATTTAACTCAAATACTTCAAAAAAAATTAAACTTGTGTTTTTTTATGCAACGCTCCAAACTTTTGATCATGACTGTAGTTTGGGTTTGCTTCAATAATGATTGTGTCGGTCCTATCCACTTGATTGATGGCATAATGGGCGAAAATATGTACAAGGATATCATAAAAGATGCTGCCACATGCTAAAGACAAAATGCCTTAAGGATGAATATTTCAGCAGGACAGATAGGTTAAAGCACACTTCAACTCTTGTAAAAAACTTTTTCAAGTCCAAAAAAATTTGATTAATGGAATACCCTTTGCAAAGGTCTTTAACTATTTTGAACATATATGGAAACATCTCGATCAACAAATTTCAGGTTGAAAACCAACACGTTAACAAAATTTAAAATTCTGAAACAAGAATGGGAAGAAATTGACGTGATTATTATACTTATAGATTCAATGCTTCAATGCTGTCAACCAGTAATTGATGCTAAAAGCTTTTTTATGAAGTAACTAAAAAATTAAAATATTTTCAAAAAAGTCTAAATTCTTTTGCATAATTTGCACATTTCAATAAAAAGAACTTTTTTGATTAGATTACTTAGATTTAGTAAAAATTAATTTTTAGTTTTAATTATTAGTTTAAAGTCTATTTTTTGGCTGTGAAAATTTGAAAGCAATATATATTTTTTCCAAAAGTTATCCTAATTTTGTATTTTTGTTTACTTTTGCACGTTTATTTTTTATTTATTTAGTTTTGTTTTGTTTATTTTTTCACTGCATACAAGTTAAGTTATCAAAAAAAGCGGAATTGCATGCAATTGAACAATGCAGAACTACAAGAGACATTTCGAGTCGATTTGCAATAGGAAAATCAACTGTTGCAGATATATTAATGCAAATTTAATTGTACATGAAACAATCAGGTATAACTGATAATGTCATGCTAAAATAGCTATTAGTGTCAGCTAAGTTTTATAGTCTTTGTTACATAGCCTGTACAGTCTTTGTACACTCTTTAATACAGATAAGCCTGTACAGTCTTTGATAAATGTATTAAAATGTACAGTTTTTGAATTGTCTTTCATAAATATCAGATTTACATAATAAACATTACTTATTATAAAACAACAGAGAAAGTTAAAAACTTTTCATACCGCTCATTTTTGATAAAAAATAGTAATGCTTGTACTGTCTTTGATTGAATAAAAGGATGACCCATAATGTGTATTCTCCATAGTTGAAGCCCAACATCCCTTTAAAAACCATTGTAACTGCTATATTTTTAAAAATCAATAAATAAAGAAAAAAAAAAAGACCCATAATGAGTATTCTCCATAGTTGAAGACCAACATCTCTTTAATAAGCATTGTAACTGCTATACTTTAAGAAATTAATAAATAAAGAAAAAAAATAAAAAATAATTGATATAAAAATTAAACATAAAACTTTAGCCAGATAGTTGTTCAGCTTGCAGCTAAGAATGTTGGTACTTGCTTATTTCAAAGTTTAAATATTGAAAGTTAACACCTTTTCAATTAAAAAACTAGATACTGGTTCTACAAAATTTTTTCCACTCACACACACACAAAATGATAATCAGACTTAAATTAATCAATTAATTAATACAGAGGGGTAATTACTAGAATAAAAAGAATAACTGTCACTACATACATCATCAACAATCTTAATTTATTTAAGCTATAACTTATTACAATTATATAAAAAGTGAGATTTTGTAATGATTCAAATATTTTTTGTGTGTGTGTGTGTGTGTGTGTGTGTGTGTGTGTGTGTGTGTGTGTGTGTGTGTGTGTGTGTGTGTGTGTGTGTGTGTGTGTGTGTGTGTGTGGTATAACATAAGATATTAGTAATAAGCCATAGAAATAGAAATTTACCATATTGAAAGAACTGATGAGTTTTGCAGTACATATACTCTATCAAGATACAAAAAAATGCTTCTGATCATGGTCTAAGAAACAGAAATCAAAAAAAAAAAATTTTGATGCATTTATACCTTTGATATTATTTTTGATACAATAACAACAACATATTGATATATAAAATTTATACTTTTTATTACTCACATTAATTGTGATCATAAATTTTTAATTTTAAAATAATTTAAATAGTTTATGTTGAATTTTTTAATTTATCATTTTTTTAAATTTCAAACAATTGCAATAGTTGATTGAGTTAATAATAGTTATTAATAGTAGATTGAGTTAATAGAAAGTCTATTATTAGAAATCCTATAAATAACCCCATAACAAATCTATAAAATTAGCTTAAAGTAAATAAATAAGTCTGTTAAAGTAACTTAAAGTCAAAAATGACTGATAAAAATGTTAAACCAAAATACTTATGTACAACTTTTAAAATAGCTAAATGTCTCCATTTTGCATGTCTTCTTTTTAATAAAATAATTTTAAATCATTCAAATTAGGCTAATTGCAACTTTATAAGCAGCTAGAGATCAAAAGTTATCATAAGAGTTATCATAGAAAGCATGTTTAAAAGTAGCCAATCATACAAGGATGTATGCTACAGGTAAATATATATTAGGTGGTTGATTTTAAAACATTGCAATTCTAGTTACCATATTTTTAGACTGAATTTATAACTAAATCATCCTTAACATCTATTTTTTATCATCTTTGTCTTCAACATTTTCATAACATTGAGAAACAAAAATCATCAACGTTACGTAAATACTGAAGATGAATTTGAAGATGACAAAAAAAATTTTGAAAATGGTTCTATTATTGAAGTAGTTAATATTATTACATCTTCTATTAATTAACAGAAAAAAAATTAAATTTAACTAGCCAGATAAGGTTTATTTAAGCAGATTAAAGCAGATAAAAGTTGATTAAAGCAGTTTAAAGTGAAGTGGTGCTTAACTTATTATTTTTTGAAAACTAAATTTTTATATATCATAGATATGAATATATAACTCTTATTTTACATCCATAAAGCTTTGTTTTTTTGTTTTTGAATTTAGATAATCATTATTCTTTTAACGTTACTTTTTTTTAACCATATTTAGTTTTACCTTTATTTTATTACCTATTATTTGCTCATATTGTTTTTTGATCTTTTTATATATCCTTTTTAAATGAAAAATAAATACAGATTATAATTTAATGAAAAAACAGATACAGATTATAATAATATGAAAGTTTTATCTGTTTATTGATGTATTAGTAACCGACCAGGGTCTTAGGGCAATAAAACTTATTCTATATTTTACATGTAATAAGTTGTAAAACTAGTGTCTAGGGCTTTTTTTGTGTTTTAGGCTTTTTTTAATTTTTTATATACAATCTGATCTTCTATATAATATTGCCGAACTTAATAGTTTTAGTAGTAATGTCCCTTGGAGCGTATTTGACACGAAACCTATGGCAGCCATTGCAACCGAGGTTTTGGCAAGAAAGAGTCGCAGTACTATAAGAAAACGTGAACGAATATGTAACGTACGTAAACTTCAACTTATGTAATGTTAAAACATATGTTAAAACATATTGAAACATTTATCATGTTTTACAGTTTGATTTTCACTTGAAAATTTCATTGGGTCAAGCTCTCCATAATTTTAATCTCTAACATTTTTCCTCAAAAAAACGTTATTATAAAATTGATACCAAAAACTACATTATTATAAAATTGATACTATACAATATGCCGGTGTAGCTCGAGCGGATAAGGCGTCGAACTTCTGAACAAGGTACTAGAGGAACTAGAGGTTAGACTCCTACCGATTACGGCTATTTTGTTGAAGTTTTTTATTACTATTTTAAAATACAAAATTTTTTCGAAGTTTTAAAAAGATTATATACAAACATATATAACGTAACGATATTACAAAGGAAAAGATTCTAAGAAAGCTAAAAAAAACATCACCGGGAGAAAAAATGTGTTGCGTATGTATGATGATTGAGAACTTATGTTATTAATGTGCTCAGGTAATTAGTCCTAATAACCTGCGGATGGTCTGAAAAAAAAGTTGTCTGAAACTTAATAAAGAAAAAACTATATTAAATAAATAAGAAAGTCCTGCTACTCAAGAAGGTGCTGTTGTGGAGGCAAAAAAAAAAAAGCCCGTAGCTAGAAAATTTTTTTAAACTTTCTCTTGATAATCAAAAGCTTTTTTTGCAACATTTATTTTTCTGATAATATGAATACGCTAATTTAATATTATTATTATAATTCGAGTTACGTCATTTTCTAGGCTTTTCTATTTTAAAGTAGTTTCTAGGCTTATCTATACGCGGGTTTTTTTTCAAATTTTATTTACTAACAACGCGTATTACGGGTTGTTTACTGCTAGTTTAATAATATACAAGTAGATAAAAATAAAATTTATAGGAAATACAAAGGTCTGTATGCCTTAACATCAATTACAAAAGATATAATATTATTATTAAAGATATAAATAATATTATTATATGTGGTAGTGGTGTAGTGGTAGAGCGCTCGCTTCATAAACAAGTGGTTCGGGGTTCGATCCCCACCACGCCCCTGGTAGTACTGCGCTCAACTCGTTTCTTGTTCGTCAAGGTTCGTGTTTCGGAGTTAGAGTTAGAGTTGAGAGAGGGTTATAGCCACAAAATAAGTAGCCTCCTTGTCTGTAGTGGCCTTCTCGGCCTTGAGGAGGTGAATTAAATAAAAAAAAATCAAAATAAAAATATATATATATATATAAACCCTAAATAATATATAGTAAATAATACATAATAAATACCGTTAGTAAATATGATCAAATCTTAAGTATCCATTACAACTGAAAAAAAATGCACCTGTTGCACAAGTATTTAAAAGTTTAAAAACTCATAAAGTTTAAAGACGAAATAGAAAGAAGAAGAAGAAAGTTTCTGTTAAAACCAGAAAATGAAAACAGTCATAGTTTTGAAGTAACTTCTTCAAGTAACTTAAAAGCTTTGAAACAAGTTATCATTATTATCATCATTATAACTTTGAGAAATCTATTGTAATATAACAATAATACAATACAAATAAAAACAACATACCATCTGCCGACAGTGTGACTCCCATTGTTTATCCATTTTTTTTAAAAAAACAAAATTATCAATGATATCAGTTAAATGAAGGTCAAAGAAAATATTTCTTAATGATTATATTTCAACATTTAACTTAATACTTATCTTATTTATTATTCATTACTCATTTATTACTTATATTATTTAAATTCATTATTTTTTTACTTGTAATAGTTTTTTACTTATTTATATTTTAATTATTATTATTTATTATAATTAGAATAAGGCTTGTGTAATTTTATACTCACAGTGATACAAACTGTTTGTGACTCATTATTATTATTATTATTATTATTTTTTGCTTTAAAATTTTTTTAGATTTTTTAGTGCTAGGTCCTGCAGAATTTGGTAGAGAGATGGTAGAAATTGTTACTTAGTGACAATTGTGTAGCATAAATACTCTGATGGGTAATTTCTTTTAAATATAAAATACTATAAGATATAGTATTTCAACAAGGTTCCCTTGAATTTCAGCATTAAGAAGATTAAAAAATCATCTACAATCATATTGAAAAATCAATTTCTTTTTCCCCCTCTCTTAACCTTAAAACTGCAAAATCTTTTCAAGCAAGGGGGGCTTGAGTTAATGATTGAAACATATAGTTTACAGTCTTCTATCGTATGACAAACCACCATCAAAAAACTATCAAAGAATAGTTTTTTTTTTCATTTGTTTCACTGTGATGTAAGAGAAAAAACAGTTTTTTCAGTTTTTTTTTATTTTTCTTAAAGCATTAAAAAATGACTTGAGCTTAGGTGATTAAAAAATGATCATGATGATATAATATGAGCTTTTAAAGAGTTAAAAAAAATATTAAATAGAAAACCAAATAACAAGCTATATTAAATAAAGCTAAATTTAAAAAAATATAGATAAACACAAATAAAAAGGATATGAAGAAAACTCTGCAATGATAGTTTTAACATGCTCTTCACAAACTTCTCTGAGTCTTTCATACAACTGAGACGACATATTATGTGAACACAAATTTTCTACCGCTTTGTAAAGTTCTTCAAGACTATATGAAATAGAATGTTCTAGATGAATAGCACTAACAGCATCTTTTAATTTCTCAAAAGTTACATCTTTGTAGTTATCAGGGAGACTGGGTATTACTAAAAAAATAAAAGATTAAGTCTACAATAAAAATATTGTTTATACCCCATTTTTATTTGTTATACATAAGCTTAGGTAAAAAAGTTGCTGATAAACATGCATATTAAGTTTTTTTTATAATTAATTTTAGAAAATTTAATTTTTTACAATATTTATTTATTAAATTTGAAAAAATGTACAAAAGTAAACTTTTTATAAAAAATAAAACTTAATAAAAACAACAAATAATAATTAAAATACAAATAATAATGAAAAACTGTATATTATATTTCTTTTCATTTTATTAGGCGTTACACACCTTTGAAATTTTTAATGACTAATTTCTTAGCATGATTTGGGGTTGACATAAAACCCTCATTGAGAGAAGTGTTACTTTTGTTACAATGTTTATTTTCTGCAAAAAGATTTTCCTTGATGAAGCCATTTTCTGTAATATGATTTTCTTTGTTAAAGCCATTTTTTCCATATAAACTATCATTTTCCATTTTATTATTTCATTATATACAAATACTTTTATTTTGCCTCCAAAATCCAACCAAACTAGAAAAACAAAAGAAGTAACCAATCAAATTGTTAAACTAAGTTGTCAATAAAACTAAAAACACAAAAGCAGTTATCAAAATATAAACAAAAAAACTTTTAAAAACGAATATTTTATAAATGCAAAAATAAAACCACTGAAAAGTGAAATGTGAAACTCTTAAGTAAATAAAATTGGTATTATAAAAAATGTTGTGAATTTTTTTTTTTTAATTAAATATATCAGGCACATACACCATATTTTAGATAATTATAGATCAACCATCATTATAAAGTTTAAAATAAGAGATTAAGATATGAGAACAACAAAAAAATATTTTCTTTAGGACACCCAGGTCAAAATAATTGAACACTAACAGTGTGCCCTTAACTAAGTGATAAAACATTAAAAACATTTACATCATTTATAATATAAACAGAATGATTTGGTGTAACTTTATATAAATAATATTTTTCAAATTTAATTTGCACTTTTTTTTCCTACTATTTTCTTTAAAACCTTTTAAGTATACTTATTCTGTGTCACACTACTTGTTAACATATTCGTACTTTTTCTTGCAGAGTTTCATAGATATTTGATTGATCTTAAATTAGGTACAGTCAACACATTTTGTTATAGATTTGATAATTGGTGTGAGCATTCATTCATAGATAGTAACCATGTTTTTGTTAATAAATGATATGCTATGACACTTTGTGAAGTTTATTTTTTGAAGACTTTTTTAGATTTATCCATTTAGTTTATAAATCCAGCCACATTGCAATCTCAATGCAAGATTCAATGTAAGATTTATTGAGCAATCATTTAAGCTACCACCTGCAACATACTTATTTAAGTACTTTAACTTTCTTTTCAAACTTAATCCCTAATTTCTTAATATAATCAAATAATTATCTAATTTCTTAATGTGTTCACCACATTTATTTTAAAAATCATTAATATACATTTTGTTAAATGGTGGTTAGTTATGGTTTTAAATCTCTATTGATTATCATTAAACACAGAGGGGTGTGAACATTATATGGCAATAGATCAATTAAGAGTTGTGAATTTTTTCATTCAGTTTTGCTTCACATTTTTTTTAGTATTTGCTTAAATTTGTATTTTAACATTTCTCATGATGTAAGCATTATTTTATTTTTATTTTGAAGAAAATATCTTTAAATTGATTTAAATTGAAGTATATTAACTTGTTTAAACTCACAACAATAATAATCACATAATTGATTGGTTAAAAGCAAATTGCTATATATTGATTGGCCAAAAACAAACTGCTATTTAAACATGGCACAATTAAATTTGAAAAAAACTTCAAACATGGTTTAAAATGCAAATTATAATAAAACAACTATTTTATTTTGTTTAATAAAATACTTAAAAAATTTTTTTAAATAAAATACTTAATAAATAATTTTAGAATAAATATTCTTATAAACATGTTAAACATTTACTTTGATTGAAAAAAAGAGTAAAAGATTGGAATAATAAATTAAATATTAGCATAAACTTTTGGTAGTTGGAAGTTGGTACAGAACTACAGAATAAGAAATTAAGTATGGCTGCTCACTAAAGTATAATAAAAACTCTTAAGTATAATAAATAAACAAATACAAAATATTATTTGAAAAAATTCAAACATATATTTCTGAATTCTTATTTATACATTTTTTTAATCTATATTATCACAAACAAATTGTCTGAAATAAAATCAGTAACTAATTGTCATTATTGTTTGAAATGCTGTCATTGACTATTTGTCAGTCTGCTATGCCAAGATTGTTATTTATCATCAATGTCTAAATTGCTGACTTTTTGTTAGCATTGTCTTGGATGCACTTTGTGACTACTTGTCCATATTGTCTGGAAGGCTGGTAACTATTTTGTCAATACTGTCTGTAATGTTGTTGGTCAGTATTGTTTGCAATAAACTTTTATAATAAAAATTAAACAACAGTTTCTTTGAGACAAAAAAACTTTTTACATAAAGCACACAGTTTACTACAAATTTTAAATATATATCAATCAAAATTAACAATATAACTATTGCTTCAAAATTTTATAAATTTTAAAAAAATAAATTTTAGTAAAATAACTTTGAAACTTGATAACGAATCACAAATGCCAGACATGTTCAAAGCATCTAAAAATGAAGTTTAATTTTAAATATAAATTTATGAGACAAAAAACAATGACAAAATGATCAGTATATTTATATACACCATATACTCAAATGATCAGTATATTTATATATATATATATATATATATATATATATATATATATCATAGATGAGTATTTGACTTTATGAAAATCCTGGAAACTTTTTTTATATGATAATCCCGCAAAATACCAGAAAATTATTTTACTGAAAATCGATCGCATTTAACTGACAAACGGAATTTAGATTATTTAACTTTTTACAAAAAGGAATTTCTAATATTCAAAAAAGTTTGAATAAATTAAAAAGCAAAAAAAAAAAATTGTTACGAAAATTGATCTTGTGAAAATCTTAATTATAGAAAACATATTTGTTTAAATGCAAAAGTTGTTGTATATAAAATATTATGTAAAAATATATAAATTTTTTTCAAATTAATAACAAAAAACATCCGGAAATTTCAGGAAAAATGAAAGGTGTTTAAAGTGAAATTCCGGGAATTTCAGGAAAAAACTCATCTATGATATAAAGATATACATACATACATACATACATACATACATACATACATACATACATACATACATACATACATATATACATACATACATACATACATACATACATACATACATAAATACATACATACATACATACATACATACATACATACATACATACATACATACATACATACATACATACATACATACATCATTTTTCGTAAGATTTGTTTAATATTAAAACTAATTTCAAAAAAAAAAATATTTAAACAGAAATTAATTCCTAATAGATTTAACAAAAATTAAATGTGTTGAACAGGTTAGGTTGGATTAGCAGTTTGATGAATAAGTTGAGCTCAGGTTGGACAAGCTGTTTATTTGTTATAGCTACAGATTAGGTTTGTGTTAAAGAATACACTACCAACCTTGATTTTAATTTAATTTAATTTTATTTATTAGTATTATATGCAATTTCAAAAAATAAATTAAAAAGAAATTTTACATACTTGAATTAAAAGCAATATTTTGACCAAACTTTCTTCGTGCAATGGTCCAAGAACCATAATAATAAAATTAATTAGTGTCATATTATTGATTTGAATATATTCTTCATTTTCATCTTTATTTATATTTATTTCAATATCAACTATGTGCAAAAATTTACAAATATGCAACAATGTTTTCCCAAAAATTTTTAGTTCAGATGATTTAAACGTTGATTTACTCATTTCCAGTTTATCCAATTTCTCGTTATATCTATAAAATAGAAACAACAAATAAATTAAAAAACTTTGAATTTATATCAAAATATATATATGTATAGGTTTGTGCGTGCATATACATACATATATATATATATATATATATATATATATAATATATATATATATATATATATATATATATATATATATATATATATATATATATATATATATATATATATATATATATATATATATATATATATATATATAATATATATATATATATAATATATATATAATATATATATATATATATATATATATATATATATATATATATATATATATATATATATATATATATATATATATTATATATATATATATATAAGGTCCGCACCCTCCACACACTAAGGGTGTGTGGAGGGTGCGGACTGCATTAGTCACCTAATGCGGTCCGCACCCTACTGTCAAGTTAATGCGGCGACCGCATTAACTTGACATAGAGAGGTGACACCAAAATGTATATATATATATAGTATACATATACACTGTATATATATACAACCTTTTAATATTACTTTCTTTTTTAATTAATTTCTGAATCATGATCAGAGCGAGAATCAGAATATTGGATAATGGATCTTTCCTGTAAACTTTAAATTCATATTTACCATTAGTGTTGTTATGTTCAAAAAAAATTTAGATTTAGTTTCAAATATATTTTCAATTTAATTTTTTTATTTTAATGAGGGATTTGTTAAGTATATATTGGAATTGTTTTGCGCATTGTAAATTAGGAAATCTGGCATAACTTATTCCTACATATAGTAAGCGACCGGAGTTGATATTTGACCAGGACCCGAGCCGGATTTGATAAAATATAGCAGGGGGCAGGGCCGGGTTGGTGATCGGGGCTGAATATATAAGAATATATAAAAACCATTATGATCAACATGATCATCATAACCATCATTACCGACATCATCATTATCTGATCATCTCTTCATTTAGCAAATACTACACCATATAAATACTAAAATTTATATAAATATGAAAAGAATACTGTATGCCAGCATCTAAATAAATAGCAAACATATGTTTATATCCATAATATGTATGCATAAAGAGCATCTCTGAAGCTTTTATTTCTTCTGGAATAAAAGCTTGGAAGCTTTTTGTTCCTTCTCGACAATTTTAAGTCAAGCCTCTATAAATCTCCATATTTGTAATGGTATCTGTGTTTACATTTCTTTACAATTTAATTAGCAAAGCCTAATTGTAAGCAACAACTCAATGAAAAATTCTGAAGAGAAGACACGATATTCTGAAGTGAAGACACACGATAGAGTCTGAAGTGAAGAAACAAATGTGGATAAATATACATGCAATAAAGTTACAGTGCACAGGGTATCAATACAAGATGGAAGTCAATCTGAGCATGCTGAGCAGCAGATTGACAAAATTGAAGAAAGTCCAGCAAAACAAGCCCAGCTGGATAATTCTTCTATTTTGACAATGTATTGATGAAATTGTTCAGTCTACATCCGCAGGTGGCACAGCATACGAACAACAATTACCAACAGACATTAACACTCAGCTAAGCCAGTATCTGGCAGAACCAGAAATAAAGAGAAACGTTGATCCACTACAGTGGTAGAGTGACAATATGCAACAATTGCAAGCTGTGGCAACAGTAGTTTGCATTTATTTGGGTGCCCCACCAACAAGTTTATCATCAGAATGTTTGTTCAATGTTGATCACTGAACAAACGTTTTGATGGTGAACTAAAATGAACTACTTCAGGAGTAAACTACGATGTTCCTCAATGATCATCGTAGTTCACTCCTGTTACATAATGCTAATACTTATTTATGCCAATATTTCTAAAGTACAATTCGAAACTGATCAAAGACATTTAGAAAAAAAACTGAAACTGAAGTTATTTTACTTCACTTTCAAATTAAAAGTTTTCAATCGTTTATCGATTATTTTGTTATGTTATGATGTTATATGAATTTATGTCCTTCTTTTTAATAACAACAATGAAGTTTAACAAAAAACAGTTGTCACTTGGTATTGAGAATGGTTAACAATGTTGACCACTATCAATATCAAGTACGGATGTCAGGTACGGAGCAGGGGCCAGGGCCCCGGTCACTTACTACCAACATATTGAAATAAAGATTTAATGTCATCAAAGGATTTAATGTCATCAAAGGATGTATTTTCATACCTATTTTAAATGTGTTTTCTTTGTGGTATTGTAGAAACAATTCAGCTAAAACAACCATAAAAGACAACCAAATATTGTATTATAAATTCTTGGATCTTATTATTCCACATAACATAACAACAAAACAAACAAAGTTCTATAAGATGTTTGGTTTCTAATACATTAGGTTCTGTTGAGTTTTTATAGAAAGTATTCTTATTTAATTGATCTGAAAGTGTTTTAATTACTTTTATTAGTTTTAGTATTATTATTATAATATATGAATGACTTTAATTTTTGTTCCTTTGCTTGTTGTGTTTGTCTGTTGTATTATTATTATTAGTAGTAGTATTTCTTTTTTTTTTAATTTTTGGAGAACTTTTTTCATTATTATCTTTTTTGTTTTGCTTGTTTGTTTCTGTTTTGTTTTTTTACAAGGTCTTTTTTTTTAAAAGGTCTCTGCTTTTAATTAGTCTTGCACTATTTGCAAGTAAGTGCAGCTTCTTTTACTAGTGTTGATGGGCATAAGTTTATGATATCAAAATAATTAATAATTGCATCTCATCTTCATTAATAATCCAGGCTTTAGATTTATTAATGAAATATATAGGATTTTTATTCAAAAAACAATTGGTTTTATAATCATTACTCAATTAAACATTTAAACAACAATACAGTTGAGTATAACAATACAGTTGGGTAGAGTAAACTCATATGGTCCTATTATTAACACAAACTAAAGAAAAAAACATAAATCTTTCAACATAAACCACAACTTTTATTCACCCCAAGTCTATAACGTTAAATTGATCATATAAGAAAAACATTTTTGGGCAGGTGAAGTTCATTAGTTGTGGTAAAGGCTACTCAATTAGGAGATTAAAAAAAAAATTAATTTAAAACCTCATTTTTGTGTGGTAAAGGGTTGAATAAGCATTTTGAAAGGTAATCTTTCTAGTGGTAGTGTTATAATAAAAATATTTATTTACTGAACTGTAAAATAACATTTGGAAAGACATCCAGTTTTAAAAATCTGCTCCAAAGCCAAATAATGTCAGAATTAATAAAGAAATACTGCATTGCCTAACATGTGGATTGAGAAGAGGCATGTCTGATGGTACAATGCTGGCCTCAGGTAGTCACTGGTCAGAATAAACCAGTGATTTATTCTGCAACAAGTATGATATAGCCCCTGGTCTTAACACTAACCAACCACCCTGTAAAGTAACTGGTGAGAATGTCAGTGTAAAAAAAGAGGAAAGATAGAAAATTAAATTATTTAATAGCTCTTCAAAAGAAAAAATTAAAAATATTGAAATAGCAGGAAGGAAAAGCTCACTGAAAAGGTGTTGATGCACCACCTTTTCAGTGTTAAATATAAATAAAATCTTCTGGGCTGGAGTAAAGGAGAATTAAAGTAAAATGTCAGTATTTTAGTAACAGAAAAACAAACAAATCACATAACTGAAATAAGAAAGTAATGTTGTTAAGATTAGTTGTTGGAGGGTCAATGGCTAGCTGACCTATAGTTTTAATATAAAACTGGTAGGATAAGAAAAACGAAAGAATTCTACATCGCTATTCTTGGTAACATTTTAAAATATATTAAAGAAAATGAGAGACTACTTGTATGTGGAGACACGAATAGACATGTTGGTGCAGCCACAAATAGCTTTTGAGGGAGTACTTAGTAGAAAGAGGTTTTTCCTAAAAAATATCATAGAAGAAATGCAAAAAGTTTCAGTTATTTTGCTATTGACAGTCTGTAATACATAGTTTACATATAAAGATCCACAAAAAATCATTTATGAATCTAGGCTTAAAGACATTTGTAGACTATGTTTTGATCAGAATGAAATATAGAAAATAGATGCAATCGTTCACATAAGTTTCAAAGTTTTTAAAAAATTTTAAATAACTGTAAGAAAGTTAGATGGTCAAAAAAGAAGGCAGAGGCAACTAGAATATGGTTCATACCAAGAAATAAAACTGCTTGACCAAGTAATAAAGATTTTAGAAAGAATTAATGCCAACAAAATAAGAAGCAGTGTATTTATCAATAACAGTTTGGTATTAGATCAGGAAAAGGAATGACAGATGCAATATATGAAGCACGGTGTCTTTTGAATACTTAATTTTTAAAGGATTGCATATGATTAGAAAAACAGATTTTCAAATTTTTGAATTTTGTCTAAAAGAGAAAGAGCATCATTAGCTCAAATATGAAAACAAGTATTCCATTAGGGGCCTATAAAAGATTTGTAGAGGTAGAGAATGGAATTAGGAGTAAAAAAATGTCAAGCACGATAAAGAGAAGCAACCTTAGCAGATGCTTTAGCAATCGATTGTATATAAGATTATCATGAGAGGTCAGTAGTGAATAATAATCTAAGAAGACATAAAGAAAACTCAGCAAGAGGGCTGTCATTCATTAATATAGGAATGTCAACAGTTGATAGTTACGATAAATGTTTGCAGTAAATAGCTGAGTTATGTTAAAATTCACAAGCAACTGCAAGTCCCAGTTGATATAGAAGCACTCCGTTGCGAGTCAGGCTATTTGTCAGTCGATGTAGCAGCAATCCGTTGCAAGTCAGACTATAAGATAGTCAATGTAGCAACACTCCATTGCCAGTCAGGCTATAAGATAGTCGATGTAGCAACACTCCATTGTAGCAGCAGACTATAAGATAGTTGATGTAGCAACACTTCGTGCATGTTTTAAAAATTTTTAAAACATATTTTAATAAAACAACAACAAAACACCATAAATTAAAAAAAAATTTCTAGTCATTATTATTGCGTTTTTTTTTAAAAACAATAAAATTTAATG